AGAATCCCAAGCAGAAGGAGATAAGGGCAAAGCTAGGGAAATGCCGATCCGGTTAAGGAGCATGTATGATGCATTTTTTGAGAAGCTACCCAAAGAAGGGTCCCACCGTAATAAATGATCAAAACCAAATGAACCAAGAGGGACCCTTCCGTGATTATTTTTCAATACATCCCCAGATATCCCTGCATGTCCCTGGATCCGTTTAAAGGGCCCCCGATTTTACATTTCATTTTCCATTTTCGTTTGCAGTGATACATGGTCCTGAGTCAGGTGACCGGCACAACCACCTCCATTGCCACTACAGTGTCCACCGTGGCTGGCAGTGACTATGGGATCAGAAAAAGCAAAAATTTCGGAGAATCCTACCTTTCAATTGCACGTTCCACTGTCGGGCTAAGGATAGGAAAGTTCTGGTGATTCCCTACATGAAAGCTCTGTATAGCATGTATGCCCGCACTTCTTGTGGCTTTCAACGTAGGTCCCAACCACAAACCCCACTCGCTATACGCTCCCATCCAAGCCCTATAGTCTCGCAGCCCAAATCCTAGAGCCCCGATAATCCTTAAACCTGAAAGGACTATAATCCCGATTTCCCTTTCATTTTCCATTTTCTCTTCCAGTCGATTCTCGCTCGTAGGGGGAATATATTCCTAGACCTTAAACCCTCAGTAGTTTCCGTTCTCTTTGCATAATTCCTATAAAGACCTTTATGAATGTGTGTGTATATATGTATATAAACAAAACCCCATTTACCTCAAAGGACTGGCCATTGGACTGGCTATGGCCCACGACCACCACCACTACCCGAGGTTGGTGGCCATGGGCTTTCGTTGATGCGGAGACACTGGGCAAGAAGCTGCTTTAGAGTTTAGGGTGTAGTGTAGGGTGTGGGGTGGTTGGGGTAGGGTGCGGGCTGGTTGGGGTAGGGTTCAGGATTTCAGGCTGGAGCTTGGTTTCAAAAAATCTGCGGCGAAGTAGTCTAAGTGGTCTTGGTCAAGTTGCAACATCTCTGCAAAATGTGCATGGCCAGTGGGGCCTATAAACACAGAGGCTTCACTATGTCGACAGGAAGTAGGTTGCAGTATGGTCCCACTATGTTGCATCCTATTGTTTTGGCTCTTAGGTTTTATGGCTTTTCCCTACCTCTGGATGCCATGTAATAAGGAATGAGAGTACCGAAGAGATGTACGGGCTCATTGTAGGCTAAGGTCAAGAAAGTCCCCTAGTTTGTGCTCATTTGGCAGAGGTATGTATCAACATTCATTAGCCCCAAAGAACTTTGTTCAATTTGGACCTATGCACTCTGTAGAAGCCTTATGTCCCTCTCCAAAGCCCCTAATTATTTTGAGGTTCACCCGAGACTTAGCCCCGGACAAGAGGCGCACACCTTGTTTTGCAGCACTGAGGTTCAAAGCAAACTTCACAACAACGACCACGACCTTCGATCTTTCGACGGTCATTTACAACCACGGGAACCTGGGAAGGCAGTGCGAGAAATGGCTTTGGGCGTAGGCTTTATAACCACTGAACCATTGCAAAGTAGCAATCGTACTCATAGTAGTACAAGATTCCACCGACAAGACTGGTCATCGTGAAGCAAAGTAAAGGGCTGAACCCCAAGCCCTGAAAATGATACAAGTAGTTCCTTGGTTCAAACCACCGCAGTCTTGAAAGGAGCAGGAAGAGTAACAACTTCGTATTTGAGTTGTTTGTACCCGTATGCCATTAGCTTCACTTCGAAAACCCGATGCACAATAGGTTAGAAATGAAGGTGCGCCATTTTATTTTGTTGCGCTGCTGGTGTGAATGCAAGAGCGCTTGACTTGAAACAGCTGTCATAGAAGAATGGACTCTGTGCCCTAAAGATAGCATTCTCATGGCAATACCTGTCAAATGCCTGCATTTAAGACTGCACGCCCGAAGAACCAAAAACCCCGCCCGTGGACGGGCGAAATTTTGCACCACCTTATACGCGCTCTACTCAAGTAATTGCCACGTTTTGGGGATACCAGGTGGTCCAAGATTATTTCCTCTATCTCAGCAACTTTTAGGAAATGATTATAGTTTTTTGGGTTTCCACGGACAGCCGGCTTTAGTAGATTTAGCACAAGATCATTAACCCTTAATTGCCACTGGCCATGGGCTAGGAATCCATCCAGGATAGGTCAGGTGATCGCATGTGGTATTTCAAGCTTTCCCTGAACCGCTGGGGGTAGGAACGTAGATGCAGAAGCACTGCCTGTGGGAGAATGTAGGAGACTGCCCCCTTTATATAGGTCACTCCAGTTATGTGTACGGTTTTAAGACCAGTTAAAGGCCTTTACTGGGTCCTATGAACCTCCAAGTAGGAGAACAAGCTTGCATGGCACGGTCTGTTGTGGCATCCCTGGATAAAATCATCCATCACAGGTGGGGGTACTGCAGCAGACTACGTCATTTCCAATACCCTTTTTTCCGAGCATCCCTGTATGACTGTATAACTTTGGTATGGGATGCTTCAAACAGACCTAAAATCATATTGATGGTAACTCAGGCCCTCACAGTAATTGTGGCCCTGTGGGAGGGTCGGTCCGTGCTTGAGAGCTTGGCGGGCTACATCGTCAATAGGTGTTTGTGCTGCAGGGCGTTTTCCGAAAAAGTTAGAGGCCTTGTTTTGGGAGTCTCTGTAAGACGAAATGATTCCATGTTTGGGTTCCATTTAACAGCCCCCTAATTGTGTGGAAGCCTTTGTGTAGCCCAAAGAGTGCAGGGCAGTGTAGAGGCGAGCTAAGGACCAAATCCAATGCATCTCGCGTGCGCAGCAAGCGCCACAAGAAGCAGAAGCGAGAAGAGCGTACCATCCCCGGATAGGGACCATTCTTCGAAATTACATGTAGAAGTCTTTGTATCATGGGTCTTCGTGAAAAGGGTTCCCCACCAGTAATATTGGTGGGTGCATTTATCTGGGGGGACCATAGATTAAAACAGAATCCTACCACATCTACGGACCACCAGAGGGAAACATTTTCTCAGTCCGTACTTAAGCAAGCACCCAAACCCTAAGCCTGAACCCTTAACCAGGTAGATTGATGTAGGGATTATGGGTTGGGGACTTTGAAGGGTTTAGTGCTTAAGGGCGTAAGGAGCAGGAGCGTATGCTCCCCCAAGCGAACAAGGAGCCCCATGTACAGAGACAGTGGTCTTCACAGCACATTTTGGGGGGAGGGTAGCCCGAAACCCTGAAATTGTCCTTGCATACCACCCTAGAAAGCCCCTCAAATGGCCCTTAAGTATTCTCTGTCAACGTGAGAAGTTTTTAAATGGGGTCTGTGTCGGATGGAAATGTATCGAGGCATGCTCCTGCACGGCTTAGGGTTTAGGGTTTCGGCTTTAAAATGTTCAAGGTATATAATGGGCAAGCATGTTATACTTCCTACCAAGGAGTTCATTATGGATATGTTTGAGGTATAAAACTGACCGGCATGTTCTTCTTTTTGGACACGGTACTTCTTCCGTACTGAAAGAAGATCCACCTTCCTTCCTGGAGCAATGGAGACCAAGGTATTGAAGCTGAAGAGGACAAAGGACCATCCCTGCAGAGCTCCAGGTTAAGGGCTTGGCCTATAGTCCCCCTTAAGTAGATAGAACATTGGGTTTTTTGGGTGGGTATATAAGGATAATGGAAAAGAAAATGGAAATTACGATGTTATAATAGGATATATATATATTGGGGTTATAGTCATCCCCCTTAAGTAGATAGATTATGGGGTATATGGGGATCTTACTATGATATACCCAAAGCCAAATTCTATCTCTTTAGGGGGGACTGTAGATTTTAGTCGCCTCCCCCCTCAGAGTAATCCCCTCGCCCTCCTCATGTGAAAGATTCGCAACAGATTTCAGTATCACGCAATAGGTCCGGGGCATAGGCGCTAAGGTCTTAAGGCGTAAGGTTCGGGGCTTAGCGTTTGCTCCAGTTTGGGGGTTTTGCATAAGAGTCTGCAAGCACTATTACAAGGTCTGTCTCGCAGTAATTTCCCGCATGGGTAGCAAAATAGTCTCTTCGGTGACTATCTCCAAAATCCCCTCATATTCCGCATGTATCCCAAGGGCACCCTACGGTCAGCAACCCCCATGTTTCCGTACTCCCCATGCGACATGGCCCTCATGTCGAATTCAGGAAGCCTTCATGTCAGTGAAGCCATGTTAGGGTTTAGGATTTAGAGAACTTTAGGGCAATCTTAAGGGGTGGTGCCCTGAACAGGATACGTTGGTGGATCATGCACTTGCAGCTGTCCAGTGGATCAAGACTTTGGGCGTTGTTCCTGATCTTCAAGTCTGCAACCGCCTTTTTCTGCCTGGTTCAGCATTCTATGAATGACGTAGGGTTGCTACTAGCAGCATAGGCATAGTCTTGGTGAGTGTATGTCGCAGTCATTCCAAAGAATTTTCAAGCAGTGTCTGCTTTGGGTTTCAATTTCGCAGGGGGCCTATATAAAGCGAGATAACCCAGGTACTGACCTGCCCAAAGCAAATCCCATGTGATGCTCAGATCTACCCTATACATGCCAATACCTCTCAACATTGGACCGCGAAGCCAGAGATTGCTTTGATTTTGGCAACGCAAAACCTCGAAGCATTTCTCTTGCGCAGCTTACGTAAGACAAGCCCCTTAAGGTTCGGCTTGATGGCTAAGAAAGCCTTTCGCTTCACCTACGGAGATGTAGTCAGAAACAGAGAGTTGGAGAGCTGCTTTTCAGGTCTCGGCTTACGTAGTCCTTGCCAAGACCCAAAGCTCATAAGCGTACATCTTCATCCTGAAGCCTGGCTCCACCACCTGCAACTGAATCAACTGGGCTGCTGTTGAGAAACTTAGCTTATGTCACCATCAGCAAGAAACCCAATTGCTTGCTCATTGTATGGCCGATAAACATGATGCAGGGGCTATAGACCTATGTTATAGCAACTTTGCTTGAGATCTGCCACAACAACCCAGTGAAGGCTACCCCCTGCCGAACGACATGGTTTTCGGAAAGTGGAAACATGGACAGGACAACTTTGAGAAATGCAACGTGGGTTGGGGGTTTAGCATTTAGTTTTTGGGCTTGGATATTTCTAAGGACCTTTTTAGGAGGGACCCCTAATTGGGACCCTCATAGCTTATTAGGATTAAAGTGGGGACTGCCTAGGAATATCGGGGTTATTCATGGATTATATGTTCCTCCTAAGAAGCCTTCAATATTTATGGTTGCGGTTTTGTACCCTTCCCCAAAAACATTGGAACCTGTAGGGGCAGAGGTCGCGTCAAAAAACACTGTTGTATTTACACAGCCCTTCTTGGGGTGGGTTCCTGGATCGTTTGGGGGAGGATAGGCTTCATATTTTGTGGCGATATGGCGTTTAGGTTGTATAGGGTATGTGAACGGATTTGTCAATGGTGACCTTCCAGGAGTTGAATGGGGAACGAATGAAGACTATTAGGATGTCGTCTGTGCTGGGTCACAGCCAGAGAAGTTAGAGACAGGCTATGCATCTACACAGGGTGCATATACAGATTACTGGAGGCCAACAAGATTATTTGAAAAGGTCTTCTCATCTGGAATGTTGCTGATGATTCACCGCCAATGCAAACCTGAGTTCAAAGTGCAAAACCCCGCACCCTTCCAGGAGGCCTGCAATGCCTTCAGCATGGGATATCTTCTCACAGAGCTCCCTTGCCCCAACGTGGGTTCCTGGGCTTTTTTGGTCCAGCAAGGGCTCCAGGTCAGTGCTTGTAATGTAGGGCCTTATTACGCCCATGAATGGAGAATCTAATGGAAAAAGAAGATGGAAAAATCTATGGAAACTGTGATTATCTAGGGTTTTGTAGGGATGAATACCCATGTTATTGTTTAGATTTATTGTGTGATATGGTACTTGGTACGTCAAACAAATGGTATTTCCCCTTACAGACACCTACAGAAAGCCTGTATCAGCCCCATGTTATGTTCGTTTTCTCCATCATTTGATTCTCCATTGTTGGTACCCTAAATCCTTAAACCCTAAACCTTTTGTATATACACACTTAAATTATGCCCCCAATTACATTAGGCCGTGGTAGAACTTATGCTGCTGAAGGCCGGCTTGGGAGTTTAGGGTTTAGGCGTTGGGGACCCCTAGGGATATACAGGGATTACATCGGACATTTGGGGGGTCTGATTTTTTGGATTGTATGGGGTATTGTTGGGAGCCTTCTAGGGAGTAGCTTGGGTTTCGAATTCAACCTACTGAGGGTACAGACCCACAGACAGACAGACGGAAACACAAGCAGTTACGCAGATACAAAGGGCAAGAGGGAGCACGCGAGAAATCAGCTAGGTGCTCTAGAGGCCTAAACATTCGACGAGTAGAATAGTTAGTAACTTATATTGAAACCTTCAACCCGCAAACGTACTGTCAAAAAGTAATGTTTATGATCAGGCTTCTAGATTACATTTCTGAAATCTCTACTGGGAGAGGGCAGGTAGATGTTAGCAGGTTCTAGGTGGCTGCGTGAAGTCCCCTTAGTGCTTGAGGGTTGCCTTGACCTAGCAATTGGGCGCCTTCTCTTAGCAGTCTTAAGGCGCCTTGTACTACACTTTCCAGCATCAAGATATCCCCTTTGGGCCTTCTTTTTTCCGCAACTTGCTGTGGAGGTTCGGATCATTCAGCCCTTAGGCGGTACACCTGACTTCTGTCCTACACTCTTCATAACAACCCATTATGCGTTTGTAGTGACACAAGTAGAGCCCTGGCCATGGCTCTTTTAAAAGAAGGTTTGCTTAAGTCCTACTGGCCACTAGTAAGTTGTAAAGTGTGTGGGGTTTGGTCTTTTGCCTGCTTTGCACAGTCCCCAACGTCGAGTTTTTTACACGAAATCGTTTATCCTGTGAGACAGGGCAGCTGACATATCCTGAAGTTTACCGGTCATGGAAGTCGTGTGGCTCGCCCAGCTTCGAAGGTTGTTAAGCCTCAAATGCTCTCTGCTTTCGTGCTTCGCTTTATAGCAGACGCTCGGGCCAACTTCCAAATTATAGTTTGTCATAGGTGGATGCTTTGCGGCAAGATCGCGCTGTCACCAAAATCTGAGCCAAGGCACTGCAACTTATTCAATCCTCGTAAGGCTTGCACATCATCCTCCTGGAATGCTTGCATATCTGCTATCTGAGGAGATGGACATGCACAGACAAAAAGATCAACTACCCAGACGACCTGCATAGTTATAGCGCAATGGAGCCAGCAACACAACTAGTGTAGAAGCTTTGAGAAATACCGAGATTGGGTTCTGCCTATACAACGGCTTAGCGATCATAGCATAGATCCCCGAACCGTATACTGGCCCCTGCATCGTTCTAATACTCTTGCATTGGGTTTAAATCGGCTGTCCTTCGAGGGGTCTTTACTAAGGGGCCATTGTAGCTCTTAGTTCGTATTGTGGTAACAGTTACTGTAAGGGGGAAGGGCCAGTCCCAGGTGTTGTGCAGCCCTGCGAGAGCAACTCATGGGCAATAGGCGGCAGTACACATGACTTGTGCGGGCGCAGCTTCTGGCAGGAGGTAGGCTGGGGTTGTTTGTGGTTGCAGGGCTTACGCGTAGGGGCTTTGGCTCAGGGTGTTAGGGTTTAGCGTTTACACAAATTTGGGTTTCGGGTTGCGAGGTTAGTGGGGCAGCTTATAGGATGAGATTGGAAGTTTCTTTCCCAAAGTTTGGTGAATTATGGAGAATCACATGGAAGCTGAAAACAAATCTCGGAGTACATTCGGGTTCATAGAGGGATTATAGTGTAGGGGGCTTAAATGATTAGAGCCTGCCCTAGGCTGTAAAAGAGGTCTAGCAATCTAGCAGCATGATATTAGCAATTACGAGGGCTACTAGAATTCTTCGTAGGACCGGATCCCCTCTGGTACCTGTGTAGTCTCCACATACCCCTAGAGTGATGAAATCCTCCATTCCAAGAAGCAGGAGCTTCGCCACAGTACTCGGCTGCTTCGGGTTCCGAATATGGGAGGAAGCCAATTTCGAGAATCCCGTATGTATCGGTAATGATCCTAACCTCGAGCAAAAACAGTAATAGTAGATGGCAAGCAAAATCAATAAAGATAGCAGTTTTAGAAAGTCAGCATTGCAGGACATGCACATGCTGGTGCTGCTGGTGAGACTGATGCTCATGGTGGTAATGGTGGTAATGTGTCAATGCTGCTGCTGGTAGTGGTATCCATTGCGCCACCGCAGTCGTAGTAGGTTGTAGCAGCAGGAAAGGAGGAGAGGGAGGCGGACAAGGATAGCAAAGCAGCAGCACTTCTTTGTTGCAAAGATGTCATGAGGTGTCCTGTTCGTTCTTGAATACTCTAGCAACTCACGTCTCACCTCAGATGCCCGGGTAAAGGTTCTAATCCAACCTGTGGCCACATCTCCACAAACAAGCCATGGATCTCCTGCACGGCCGTTTCTGGCTTTCATTCTAAACTGCGCACACCGAGTATATGATCCTGGTCCCCCCGTTTGCCTGTTAATCTTGCCAAGCTCTTGTATCAGTGAGACAAACTACTGAAATCGTTTCTTCCTCCCAGCTACAGCCAAAAGGCACTGAAGCTAAGCGTGTGGTCAGCCAGGACATGGGCCTCAACTGCACTCAGCTTACTCATTGTCATGGACGCGAAGCGCATCCGATTTTCGTGGACACCCAGCGCCTTGCAACTTGCTCCTGCAACGTGCTACGATGGAGCTGCGACTATGACCCCGGGCAAGAAATGGTATGAATTATGGGGCTTTCGTAGAATTTGGGGGCCCCGGTTTGGGACTCCTCGTGATAAGAGCTATTGTATATTGGGGTTTAGATTGTGGTCCGCCACTTATACACCACATGGGAGTTTCTGCCAAGAATTGACTATCCTAACGGATCTTACAGATATAGAATGGAGAAGAGGAAGCACAAGCGGTCCCTCTGAAGGATGCTATGGCGAGTGTTGAGATTCGCCGATAGTATAGGTTTTACAGTTGCCCCGCTTGCGGTCAGCTAGATGCACGGTGAACATGATGTGGTGTAATGAAAACGGCAATGTTGAAGTTTATACAACTATGACATGATTTTCCCCAAAGGCCGACATAGATCATATGGGGTTTGGTGGTTAGGGGTTTTGGGATTCAGAGTTTCTCAAACTTGAGGGCCTTCGGTCATTCCCCCCAAATTAACAGTTGCCACTCATTTGAAAAGGAGCTACAACGGCAACGTGATGGACCCTCTCTGACCCCATATATATTGTGAGGGGGAATCACCCCAGGTGTCCCCTTAATTCTAACTGGAAAAGCCCCCACCCTATTCAGCTTCTACGTAGCACCCGGACTCGAAACAAACAGACGTATATACAGGGTTTGAGAGTCAGGATTTAGGGTGCAGGGCTGGGGGCCTAGGGTGGAGGGTTTAGTGTTTAGAGTTAAGACTGTGTAATTCATTTACTTTATGAAGGCCAAAGCCCCGTCCTCATCCTATTGTTGCCATCAGTATATCACAATGGCCCAGTTTTACCATAACCACACCCACCTCCAAGATGCGGAGCAATCCCTTCCTCTAATCTTAAACCTCCCCGGGCTCCTTAAGAAAAGCTGATTCAGGGGGGGTTAAGTCGGCAACCTGCAGGACCTAATGTCTCCATTTCTCCCTAGAATTCCACAAGGCTCTCCCCTTGAACCACGCTTGTTCGGGACCTTGTGCTAATTTGAGGTGGTGCCAAATAGGGTAGCTTTGGCATGAGGAGCGTGGGTCGTGATTGATACCGGCATACGGGTGATTTTTCCTATCTTGCATGAGGGCCTGTTCTCGGTATCACGGGCACCAAGACCCACTCAAAGTTCAGGCGTGGCCTTTCGCAGGAGGCCTCATAAGGTTCCACGTGTGTGTGTGTCTGGGAGAAGAGATGTCTAGAACCTCCTGAAGCACCGCCACTTTCCTTTCTTGGATCGCCTTGAAAAAAGAGACTGAATATGTAATCCTATCAATTTCTTAAAGTTCAAGGGCCGAGGCCTGCGATGAAGACAAAGGATGACGATGGCGGGTAGCACTACCCGTGAAGCTCCCTTGAAAAAAGCAGGACTACAAGGCAGACCTCTAAGCCACGTAGATCCCTTCCATGTGCTGAGGACTACGAGGCCTGCGATGTCAATGACACCTACTATCCTCCAGGCTCTGCAGAGCTTGCTCGACGTCTGCTGCAAGATTGGTCGCCACGGCGGCCTCATGACCAAGGACCCGAAGTTTGGAGTTTGGGCCTAGGGGTTTGGTGGTTCAGAGGTTGAGTGGCTTAGCGATTTTGGATTCCTTTAGCTTGACATTATCGTTTTCTGATGCAACTGCTGTTGCTGCCGTCGTTGAAGGTTGCTACTGTTGTAGTGGTGGTTGTGTTTGCTGATGTTGCATTGTGGTATTAGTCTCCTTGGGTGTCATTCTCATTCTGAAGCAGTTGCTGCCGATGTGTTGTTTGTTCTTCTTCGGGGCTTCATGGTTACTTCACCATCTAAGGTCCCTAAGCTATCCCAAATCACAGGTGGTGCAGGGTTTCTTGCATCAATAGTATGCCCCTGCCCAGGCTGGGCTTGATAATTTCTGCTATTGCCTAGACATTCTAATGTAGTTTAAGTATTTCAGATCAAGCCACCTACTGTCTTAGTTACATTTCATATGTTTGTGATGAAGCCTTCAAAAGAAGCCATTTCAGAAGTTTGAGCTCAGCTTCTCGTCTTTCTCTTATGTTCCAGTCTATGTCCATCATCTGCCGGGGTGGTTTAAACCTTGATCTTTTTTGGGGTACCCCGAATATTAGGGGCCGTGTTGTACTACTTACCCCAGAGGGGACAATATTTTTTGATAACTTAGACCCTCAAGCCATGACCCTCTGACGGGAATCAAAGCCATTTTCAGTTTATGCATGTCGAATTGGAAGGCTGTACCCGAAACTCGAAATCTTAAGCCCTACCTCTGGAAACCTTTGGCCCTAAGCCCTAGTTTCCTGGATCCGAACCTGACGCCCTAAACCCTCAACTCCAAACCCTCAGCCTAAACCCACTGCAGCAGGAGAATCCGGCCTTGCCACCATATCCTTTTGCGGACTCTGCGTGGTCTTGGGCCTCTTTATCGTGCATGAGCAACCTATTTGAATAGGCTTGAAGTATTGGCTCTTGTAGAGCGTTTTCATACTTCGTCAACAAGATTGGTGCGTGCATATGTATTATGTAGGGTGTCTGTTTGGGGAGATCATAAACCAATTTTACCTCTATGGATTAAGGCTCATGGTTGCGGTTTTCCTCAGGATTCCCAAGGATAGATTGGGATTGCAAATGGACCACGCCACGCTCTTAACTTGTATCGCCGATGTAAACCTTGTAAACTTCACACAGCCCCCATCTATGTGTATATATATATATGCTGTATGCAATCTTTGTGCAACCTCGTTTCAAGCCCTCAACGTTAACCTCAATCAAACCTAGCGCAGAGCCTTCTCTCCAGATCCTAATCCGAAACCTTCAACCCTGAGACCTACTCCTAACCCTACATATACCCCAAATGCAAATCGCAAGCCTTGTTTGTACTGTACAAGCCTAGACGACCACCAGTATTGTTTCACCGTAGTCTGTATTCTACTAGAATAAAACATGGCCGAAGCCATTTTGAAAAATTATGGAAAATCGGCGTAACACATAAGGAATGACAAGAAAAAGGTAGTACAGAACGATCGTCATACTAGAGCTCATAAAACAGGAAGAATAGCAGCAATACAAATAGCAAGAAATTGATTTCCTGTTTGCTAGGTCTGGGTCTCCTTATCGCTGTCGCCGCACGGCGCCGGCGAGCGGATCAGGCAGACTACCGCCGGCTTGCTTGACGAAAGATGAAGTGGGTCCAGGCCTTGTGGGTTTCAGGGCTTAGGGTTTAGGGCTCAGACTTTAGGATGGAAATTTCTAAAAGCAATGGTACCTTTCAGGACTCTAGCGATCTATACAGATTGCAAGGCTCGATAGTGAGGGTTCCATGACCAGGGGCCCCAAATATGGACCCAAATACCTCAATTCTTCGGACTCCTACACGGGTGGCCCGGAGGTTGACATCAGGCTCCGGAGGTCACGATTTAGGGTTTTGGTTCCCCAGTATTCCTCCATGTTCACTAGCCACAGGGTTGATGAACAGGGCTTTACACAGACAATATTGACCTACTCACCGCCCACCTGACTGCATTGGGAAGAAGCTCCATGGCATTCAAGCATGACCTTCTTACGCACTGGAAAGGTTGAAGCATATCTTGTCCTCAATTCTTGACAATAAGGTAGAAACCTGTATAATCACACATATGTTCATGTGTAGGCTTTCCACTTATGAACCTTACATATCTATAGTGTACTATACCAAAACCCGAATTTATCATCCTTGCATGACTACAGTATACCGTACCCAAAAGCTTATCGTAAATATGTTAACCCCCAACGCCCAAAATTAGGACCCTATGACTATAATATGATGGCCATAGGGTCCTAACTTTGGGGGTTGGTTACCAAAATCCCCTTATTAGAATTCAAAGGCCAGAGACTGGGAGAGGCTCCAAGGTTTGCAGCGCTCCAAACTTGCTGATGCCCCTCCCACCAAAGATAATAGTCCCCCTTAAGTAGATAGAATATGAATATATGGGGATCTTATTATGATAAACCCAAAAACCAGATTCTGTCTACTTAAGGGAGACTATAACCCCTGCCTCTGATGATGGGTTTTCCAAATATAGAAATTCATATTTTTGGAAGCTGAGGATTCGATCCCGAAAGGAAGCTGCTGAAGAATGCAAGAAGGAGAAAGACACAAGGGCCAGGATAGAGAGGTAGAGATCATAGTTAACTTCCTTCGTGGTTACTAGAGAATGAAGAGTAGGTTCTACAACCTTCGACGAACCCGCATTATGTCGCTGCATGATGGGTCTGTGCTCAGCGGCTCGAGCCCTCGAACCCGAGCCGGCATTCAATAAAGCCATACCCAACCGCCATAAAACACAGCAGGGATGAAAACTTCTTGGGTTTAGTTGTAGTTGTGCGCTTCCTACTATTACTCCTAAGGCCAGTACCCTATAGGTTTAAGGTTGCGGGGTTGGGGTTGGGATTACTATAGGGTTTAGGGCCTAAACCCCATCCCTCTAGTAGTCCCCATGGTTCAGGGTTTGGGTCTTAGGGTCTTAGGGGTAGTCCTCATATAAGCCCCAGTAATGGTCCCTGTAAACTAGTCCCCTTTCCCTACCACGTACTAGGGAGCGTCATGCTGTTTTGAATACTATGAGCTTGATAAGCATCACTGACGTGGGATAAATTTCAAGCAAACTGTTACGCTTGCTGGTCTTCAGCTGGAGTACCTTGCACTGCTGTGCATGAGATGAACGGCTCCTGAGATTCAACATGCAACACTAACGGGTGGCTCATGGAGAGTTTGAGTCTAGAAACAATTTTGCAAGTCGGTGTCGAACACACCGCAGGACTAAGATGGTTCATTTGCGAGGACCTACATTGATATGGCCAAGAAAGTCCTCTACTAGTTTACACACACACCCCACGACATTTTGTATGCTCCCGTTGTTGGTTTTCTCAGCTTTTTCAATTATACCCAATCTTGCCAGTACCGGTCACAGGCTCAAACTTAGTTGCCGTAGAAGACGGGCTGTGCAGAGCGCGCCTGGAACTCTTCCAAAATTGCTGCGGTGGCACTGTGAGACCCAGGAGAGGGGGCATTGTAGGGTTGAAGGTTTAGAGGGGTGTTGTAGGAAGTTGCTGAAACATATTCAATGTTGAGATTTTTGGCACAAGTTTTAAGTTGGGGTTTGTTTTATTGTGTTGGTATTCGTTGCAATGAGCATGTTTCTGCATGCGGTAGGCAGTCCTTCACGTCCAGTCTCAAGTTACCTCCTACAAACCTACCTTCGCAAGCCGCAATCTAACGTGCCCCCGTATTCACAACGAATTTCGAAGCTACTCCGGACACCTATTTGCATGGCTTCAAGTTTTGTATCTCATGTCCTCCCTAGAGCCATCATGCTCCTTTAGTTCCAGGCCAGGGCGGGGCCGGAGTGTGAGACTTGTACTGCGATCCTTATGTAGATTATTTCAAAATTTCATTTACGTGATTTAGGGCTGTATGCTACCTACCGGCACATCTCTTCCCAACCACTAGTGAGGTTCTGAACATTGACTGTGTGCAAAATACCCGATGCCAAGAAGTTCTTGTGCGCTGTACTTTGCCATTACCATAATGACCCCTAGAACTTGAAGCCAAAAACCAAACATGGCAACAGGTATTCCTTGCAAGCCTTTTCTTGGCCGTTGTTCTGATGATTGTCCTTCCGACTCCGTCTCAACCTGAAGACCTCAAAACCTGCAGCCAGGAATCCAGCTCTCGACTTGAAACCACCTAATCCCAAAATTGCTAGATTCATTTCGAGGATACCGAATATTGTGTATCCCGAGCCCATCAGAAAATCCTAAAGGATGGCACGCCTTCGGACTAAAAACCTAATCCTTGCAGGCGTTGCGCACATTGTCTCATCCCTCCACCCCTAATCCCTGTTGCAGACTGTTCGTGGCCCTTTGGGGCAGGGGGTCCCCAAAGGCGGGGTTAGTAATGTATGAGCCCCAAGTCCATCTCATGTTCCTTGTTCTTTTCCAGGTGATTCTCCATCATTTCCTGAACCGTAAAGGACATGAAAGCTTCTCAAAATTGCAGGGTCCCCCGTCGAAGCGGCTTGTACTGTGGAGATGATGGTATACTATACTTTACATCTCAGTATGTTAAAATGTCAATACATTATATTATATTCTAGGTTATTATGAACGATATCAGTATTCGCATTATTCTTGTTTTGGGGATGTGTAGCTGGCCATGGTTAGAAAAAGTGCCCAAATTCCAACGTGAACAGAAGGATCCTTTTAAGATAACTATGATGCTGTAGCCTGTAGAAGTACGAGTAGCAGAGCAGGGTAGAGAGAGAGTGATAGAGATATGTGGCAACAAGAGCGCGTAGAATTCCCAGATTATTTGTAATCTCCTCGCATTCCTAAGCCCTAAACCCTCTTATCCCTGCATATGCCCCTTACCCATTTAGAACGACCTAATTCCCATGAGTTTCCGAGAGAGTGTCTCAGCTCCAGGAACCTACTCTACAGGCGATCCCGCGCAGCTCATATCTTACTGGTGCTTAAGGGAGAGTCTTCTCCCCACACAATCTATTCAATGTGTATATATATATATACATATACATATATGTATATATATATATATCCCTGTATATTCCATAAACACCCTTCTATATAACAAGCTTATATAGCTCTGAATATCGTCATGGAACCCCATATACTCTCCGAGAAACATCCCCCTTCGGCACTGGTAAGATATGAAGAGCCCGGCGGAGCTCACCGGCACTGAGCCGAGCCTGGTCTGAGGGGGTAGCTGGCTTCCCCGAGTTGTGGGGGGTTTAAGGGGTTTGTATTAGGTGGACCCCTGACCCAGTAATAGTAACTATGAGGGATGATAAGGATTATCTTATGGTCTTCTTATATTTCTGTTATACCACTATTACAGAGAGGGGGGTCCTGCTAAGGTTTAGGGTTAGGGTCTCTCAGGTGCAGCGGTCTGAAGAGATCAACGCATGGTGAATCAGTGGAAGAAAGTGATCACCTCCCTTCTGCTTCCACCCCAACACCCTCAAGCCGGTACCCAAAAGCTAGGAACTTGCCGGAAAGCAGAGAGACCTCCACGGCGTCCATAGTGTCCACAGCCCATACAGCCTTTTGGTTGCATTTGGGCATGCAGGACGTTGAAGCAACTTAGATAAGAGTTCCTTGCATATATCCCATTATGCAGAAATCTTCAGAACCGGAAGAGCCACAAAGAAAAGCCTACCTATTGGAAACCTCCGAGTCTTGCTTGGCCGTAAAGTTCATCTCGGAGCAAACGCATGAAAGCCTCGGGCATAGGCGGACAGAAATTGATCCAAACCCTAGTGTTAGCTTCTTGTGGGGAGCGATTTCATGGGCAGAGAAAAGTTTCCACCTATGTCGACACATCGGTCCTTGGCTTCGGTCTCTGAATCATCAATTTCCGAGACGTCATGCCTCTCCCCAAGCCCTGCCCCCTGCGTAAGAACAAAGCCTTACCCCTGTAATTTTCACTCTTTCCCAACTCTTACCGGGCAGGTTTGAGCAGATATTTGGTTGGGAAGTTTGTTTTCTTGGGGAGGAGAGGCAACAATGTTATTCTACGTCGGTCCACGGTGGACCTTGCACTGCAACTCAAAGCAGGCCAATAGTTGCTTCTCGGAGCACCACAGATGCAGTAGGCTTTACGGAGTGAGGGGATTAGGTGATGGGGTTTGTGGTAGGGGATTATAATTTCATTTCGCCTCTGGAGAGGAGTGTAGTATGGGGACTTGCTGCTTAATTTTCCATGCCAAGTTCATTCTTCTGCATGGTTGACCATACAAATCAGTTTAACGTAGTAGACACCTAAACATGGACCCATGGTCTCCCCTTCTACCTGAAAAGACTTCACGTGGGCAGTTTCCCGCACTTACTTCCTAGCCTACCTAAGACTTGGGTAAGCGCTCTTTACGTTGGGGGAGTGCATATGCTAAACCCCATTTGAATCCCTATATGAGTCCAGATAGTCTTTCTTTAGTCACTTCATAGCCTTTTGAGTGGGCTTCCATGTTAATTTGGTGGATGGGAGCAAGGCGGACGTGGCGCATGTAAAGAAAGTGCCGGAGCTCGTGGAGTCCAATCTGCAGTGTGGCAAGCAGACAGCCCCCATGTCAAACAAAGCCAAACAAGGCCCGGCTTCTTGAGTGGGTTTGGGATCTCTGGG